TGAGGAACTCAAAGAAATTAAGAGTGGGTCTAGTAACCAGCGAAATAGATCCTGCTATCGCTGTGGCAGAACTGGACACCTGATAAGGGACTGTAAGGTGAGAGTACCACCACGATCTTCTTCACCTGCAAGGACGCCATCACGGTCGTACTCACCTGCGAGGACTAGGTCATCTAGTGAGTCCTCAGATAGATACCAGGAAAAACTAGAACTAGCCAGCGTATCGGGGCGCATGCTGGCTAGTAATAACGAAGCCCCGAGGGTCATTAACATCAAAAGGATAAGAAGAACAACTGATAGCCTGACCATCAAAGGAAAACTACACCAGAATGCAGATGCCATGTCCAGAAGACCTTGTTCGGAAACCTGTAAGCATTGTCTGCGCATTGAACATCGAGAAGGAGCCGCTGATGTTAGAAAAACCAGACTTGTGACCGATGATAAGTGGACAGCAGCACACATGAAACGAGATCAGGAGAACGATCCGAATATCGCTGATTTTCTACGTTGGAAAGAAAGAGGAACAGGAAGACCGACATGGAAGGATATCTCGGATAGAGGACCCGTTTTCAAGGCGATGTGGGCACAATGGGACTCACTAGTTGTGGAGAATGGATTATTGAAGCGAGTTTGGGAATCAGCTGATGGTAGATCAACAATTTCTCAGCTGGTTGTGCCCCACATCAGAGTTAATGAAGTTCTGGAAGAAGTCCATGGCGGAAAATCTGGTGGACATTTTGGAGTTAACAAGACATTGAGTAAAATTCGAGAAAGATTTTACTGGGTACAATGTCGTGACGACGTGGAAAGTTGGTGTAGAAGATGTCCTGTATGCGAAGCCAGTAAAGGTCCCAGAACGAGATCAAGAGCTGGAATGAAGCAATACAATGTGGGTGCACCGTTTGAAAGGATCGCCATCGATGTAGCCGGACCATTCCCTTTGACTGATGATGGAAATAAATACATCTTGGTTGCTATGGACTACTTCAGTAAGTGGGTAGAAGCATACGGCATGCCAAACCAAGAAGCCTCCACAGTTGCCAGGATATTGGTCGACAACATGTTTTCACGGTTCGGAGTACCAATGGAATTACATTCTGATCAAGGGAGAAATTTTGAGTCGAACTTATTCAAAAAGGTCTGTGATCTAATGGGAATCAGTAAGACGAGAACAACTCCACTACATCCACAATCCGATGGCATGGTCGAAAGATTCAACCGAACTATGGAAGAACATCTTTCCAAAGTAGTCGAAGAGCATCAGAGGGACTGGGACAGGCATCTTCCCTTATTCCTGATGGCGTATAGAGCAGCTGTCCATGATTCAACGAAGCTAACTCCAGCTAGTATAGTCTTTGGAAGAGAACTCCGCTTACCTTGTGACTTGGTGTTCGGTTCACCAAGTGTTGAAGAAAAGGAAGTACAAGACTACGCAGATGAGCTCCGGAATGGCTTGATGAAAATTTATGAGACTGCTCGGAAGAGATTGAAATTAGCAAGTGACAAAATGAAGGCACGGTACGATCTCAAAGCCAATTCAGAGGGATTCTTCGAAGGAGATCGAGTTTGGCTGTATAATCCTCGACGGAAGAAAGGCGTATCACCCAAATTAACACCATCTTGGGAAGGACCGTATACGGTGTTGAAAAGGATCAACGATGTGGTCTACAGAATCCAACGCAGCCCTAGGACAAAGATGAAAGTCGTTCATCTTGAAAGACTGAAGCGCTACCATGGTGAGGAGAGTTCTGTTTTTGATCGGGACGATCAAATTTGAAGAAGGGGGTAAATGTTACGACCCTGGCAATCGATCCCAGCTACCTGCGGGAACGGGAAGTAAACATGCCATATTTCTTGGAATAGTAATTAGGTGATTCGACGGCTATTGAGATGACTCGAGAAGATTATCGACCTGTTCACGATATTTCGAGTGGAATCTAGACGTTTTATTAGGTAGTATAAATAGTTGTTGTTAGGGACAGGAAGGGAAGTCTTTATTTGGAAGCGTTATAATAACGATCGAAGAAGTGTTGTGAATCGGAAGTGTTTAGTACGAGTATTGTAATTATTGTATAGTAGTGTTCAGAATAAATCGTTTTAAGTGTTATACCGAGTGTTAAGTTATTACGGACCCAGAGTAAAATCGTAACAATATTATTCTGTCTCCATTTTTGTAGAATGGCAATTTCACTATGATTGAAAATAGCCCTTTTTATATGGCGAACGGTCTCATACATGACTCCTTTACAACTGTTTAATTAATACTTCAAAAGTGCTACAAATTGAGATAGTTCCAAACGACCATTTTTGCGGTGTGACGTCACTTGTATTTTCTTGAGGCTCCCTCTGACGACCCAAAGAGGATGCGTTGCACAAAACCACAGACACAGAACTCGAGCACAGAGTGATTGGGTGATCTGTGACTTTAGATAAAATGGCTACAAAACAAACTATAGAAGAAAAAAAAGATTAACCTCGAAATCTAGTTCATTATTTCATTTCATTTTCAGCGATCTATCAGTGTCATATTAGTGATATTCTTTTAATCTGAATTAACTGAAATATTTCACTTGAACTAAACTGAATCAGTTAATATGCGTTCTTTCAAATGACGTTCATTGTATGTCAACTGATTCAGTTCAGTTCAAGTGAAATGTGTCAGTACGTTCAGAACGAAAGAATATCACTATCAATGTTCGACACTCTAGATATTTAGCCGTCATTGTCACTATCATAGTTTTTATTGAGTGACAAATGCAATGACAAATGGTGACAAGACCAAGTGTATGACGCGGTGTGACGCACCTTGTATTCGTCCAATGAAATGCCATCAATATTTCGCGCGCATTCGAGCTATCGTTTGAATTTAGGTTCAATTTAATAATTTTTTCCTGGGTCAACCGCAATCGTCAGAAAATTAAAAAAATGCTGAATTCACCCAGTATGTGTTCTAAATCGTGAAAAAAAATTCAAAAAATCATGGTGAAATTCCCTATTGGAGGAACCCATGATATTATAGTTCATTCTTGAATCTTTCGGGCAACCAGCGTGTCCAAATTATTCATATACTCCATAACAAAATTTCATGTGAATGTTGGATACTTGGCAACATTGTGCTGAATAAGAATGTCCTCTACACCTTTTTCAATTGTAATTCAGATCAGTCAATTGTAATTCAGAATGCATAACATGTAATTCAGATTAGTGAAATGTAATTCAGAAAGTGTAACTTCTAATTCAGAATAGTCAATTGTAATTCATAAAGGGTAATTTGTAATTCAGAAAGCATCACTTGTAATTCATAAATACTATGGACCTAAATGAGGGTAGGGGCTAGAAATCAAAGAATGGTTTATTGTGTGGTGAAAATCAATATTTTATATTTATGGACCAACGGGCATATCTTGAAATGCCAGAGCTGCAGCATGGTGAATGGTGGTGTGTTGTGCAGCCCTAGCACAATCACCTCCAACAATTGTATCTTTGGCCTGGTCAATATTCTGTTCAAGATAAACAAGTCGTTGTTCTCATGGAGAATGGATGCATACGGGTTCATTAGTCATTAGTGATACTTCCTGAATTACAAGTTATGCTCTCTTGATTACAATTGACGGTTTCTGAATTACATTTCACTATTCTGAATTACAAGTTACACTTTCTGAATCATATTTCACAAATCTGAATTACATATTACGCTTTCTGAATTACAATTAACTAATCTGAATTACAACTTATACTCTCTGAATTACATCTTATACTTCCCGAATTACAATTGAAAAAGGTGTAGTGTGAATTAATATAATTACTATTTACACAAATAATGTATTATAAGCAATAAGCCACAAATCATAAGGGACCATTTTGAGACAATTGATTATGTATTGCTAAATAGGAATGTTACCAATACATAATTGAGAATTTATTAATGTTTGAATAACTAATATTTCTGAAGTTCCCAATCGTATTTCAACACATTGTAACTGTGCTATTTTCTGCCCCCTACTTACGAAATCTAACCTAACCTAACCTAACCTAGTTAATGGGTTGCGTGCAAGAACTGTCAGATGAACGTCACTTTACTTATTTGTTTACAAGTGATTGAAATAGTTTTTCACAATTATTTTGGCATACGAATCGTATTTTTCCGCTATTCATCAATTCGCTCATGCCATCACATTATGCTGTTGTGAAATGCACAAAAACTGCAGCGGAAGACGAAGTAATCCGGTTGGTACAATATGATTTAAAAGTAGGTACCTACTATAGTCACTCACATATAGTTTTCATTTTTGAAATTTGGTAATTTCTCTGATTTCTCATCGGAATTCTTTCTGCGATAGAAGCTAATAGAAATACATCTGAAATTTCTAAAATAATGCCAGAAAATTGGATTCATGCAATCAATCGGGAGGACTGGTCTGACATGCTGACGATCGTGTGTGTTGTAGACATTTTCAATCTATTAGCAGTATTAGCTTGTATTGCAGAAGTGACAGAAGGCAGAAGGAATTTTAATAAGGAATGACAACATTTCATAATGATAACTATGTGAGATTACTATTTACCTGAAAAATAATATTCTTTAGTCTCTTGCTGCATTTTTTGTGCATTGTACAACAACACAATGCGAAGGCATGCTCGAATTAATGAATAGCGCAAAAAACACGATTCGTATGTCAAAATATTGTGAAAAACTATTTCAATCCTTTAATTCCTATATAACCAAGTAAAAAAGTGAGGTTGTGTTTCAATAATTCACAGAAGAATGAGGTTGTGTTTCAATATTTTGCCTCCAGGGCCGGTCATCGTGCACGCGACCTATACTCGCGGTAAATTTCTATCCGTTTGAAAATCACGGTGAAAATCGAAAGAAAAATTCTAAAAAAATATGAAATCGAAAGGTATTTGAGTGATGATTCTATTCGAAAAATAAAAAAAATTAGCCCACTATTATTGAGCCTATCATGGAAAATCCCCATTTTGTCTAAGATGTCGGCGAAATGATCGAAGCAGAATCTCCGGAACTGGAGGTCGAAGACATGCAAATGGTCGAACAGGTGCTCAGTTTGAACGAGAACGGATTAGAACAGGCGCTGGTCACGCAAGCGCATCTGCTAGAAGAAACAGACATCAATACCGTCCTCAGCACCATACAGGTGGACGAGTTCAGCGATTTCTTCACAGGTAGGTGCACCTCTTTCGAGAATATTGTATCATTGTGAATTATTTTTGGCAGCTATTGATTTCTCACGTGGAAACAATTTTTTTCTCATGTGAAGATAGTTGAAATTTTGAAGAATGTTAGTGGTTTCTCAATGGGCGTGTACACCTTAGTTGAACTTTTAACTCAAACCATGTTTATAATGATCCTTTTATACATAAATAATGATTGACGACAAAATTCGATCGAAAAATCAACTGGAATGTTTCATTTTTGGACATAAATAATAGTACCTTCTGAAAACGGACCCTCTTATGACGTCAGAAATCATGTACCATTCATCTCTGTCTGGAATAATCTTGTTTCAGTATTAGGGTTTTGACGTCACATCATCGCCTCGTTTTCAGAGGTCCGAAAAATCGGGGATTTCAATAATTTTTTATAAAACGTAGGGAGCTCACAGCAAGAAACGGTTTGCGGTGGTGAGCTGGTTTGGGCGAGTTCTATCGAATTATGAATTCAATTTTTTTTGTGATATAAGCCCATTTGTTGTTGTTCTTCTTTATTACCCCAAGGAACATATTTGTTTATAATAGGGATACATTAACATATGATATACAGGGCTTTCATTTCAGAGCTTACCACCCTGCATATCTTTTGATCTGCGAAGATTACAGTTTTCGGAAAAAACAGGTCGATTTAGATATCGAGGGAGAAGTAAAATGCCAATATCAATTGAATTCTATGTTCATCCCCTTCACCCCCCAGACACCCCTACTTTGAAATCTCAGATGGCACCCCCTACTTTGAGATACAAAAAAGTGAAGGTCTATCAATGATCAAATCAACCAGGCGAAAAAATATTTATCTCGTATACAGTGTGAGTCATGAGGTACTGTACATACTCCCACCACGAACAGAGGTCCCTGAGGGGAATATCGAATTGCCATCTGGAGTTTTTCCTCCTCTTCTACAATAATAAACAGAGTGATTTATAGGATTGAGCAAAAAAATCTTTTTGTCACAACTTACCAGCAGCTCCTTTGATTCATTTCATTTTTTCATGGAACATTATTCACTCCAACACCAATAGACTAACGTTTACAGAATTGAAAAAAAACCAGGACCGTACTTTTGAAATGTTGCCAGCTATCAAAGAGTTCACTCTGTATATGGTTTCAGTGAACAATGACATATTTTCTGACAATCAGAACCAAATATGTTGGTGCTTCATCCAGCTGAGAATGGTATACCCTACTAGTTCCTTTCAAAACTAACTAGAATGATTTTTTTTTACGAATCTGTCTAAAGAGAAATTCAATTTTTCAGAGTGGTATTCACAGCAATTGTCCAAAATGTGGTCCATTATATTCTAGACAATAGTACAGTCTATTTTCGAACTTTTTGAACCGTTTCCCGATTGATTTGTCTGCATTCTGAAATGAGTCTTCTTTGAGTCAATCAATATCTTCTGGTTGAGTCTTATAAACCATGGTTTTCAAGGGACCCCACAGAAAATAGTCGAGAGGTGTCAAATCTGGAGATCTTGCTGGCCATTATATGGCACCTTTTCTGCCAAACCCCATATAAATTGTCTTCAATGGAGAGTAGTCCAATTATCTCATTTTCTAGAATACCAGTCCACACATTGATTTTCTCAGGAAACTGAGTATGGTCCTGTCGAAATATGTGTGGATTTTCATTGTCTCAGAATCTACAATCATGTTCATTAACAAAGTCGTTCAAATAAAAAGTTGATTCATCACTGAAACAGATGTGCTCAGGAAAACTGGCAACTTGTTGAATCTTCCCAGACATTATCTCGCAAAATTTGATTCTGCGGTCATGATCGTCTTCTGTAAATTGCTGGTGAATTTGAATTTTATATGGGAAGAATTTATTAGTTACCGAAACGCAAAACGTCGAGACAGGAATGAAACTTCCTACCGAGGTTTTGAGTTACTCAGTTCGCCCAAAATTTGACTTACCCGAATTCCGTACAACTCCCCGAATTTTCGAATGTGGTAATTAAAAGTTGAGACTTGAAAGGATTCTACGATAGTTTCCTTTTCACCACATCCTACCGACTGCGCCAATTAGGAAATTGGAAAATCGAGGAACGCTTTTAAAAAACATGGTTTTTTCCTTCAAAGTACAAGAGAGAACTAACTTTATTAAATGAAATTTACAAGTAATTCGTAAGCTACAAATGGTGTGATACAATTCATAGAAATGAAATATGAAACTTGCTGAATCCGCTGATGAGCGTCAAGCTCATGTGTTCTTGAGGTGAATAACAGGCATATGGAAACGTAACTCGCGATAAAAAGTAGCCTATGTTCATCAGAGATAATGTCGGCTTCTAATGGTGATAGAGTTTTTCAAATCGGTCCAGTAGTTTCAGAGTCTATTCAATACAAACAAACAATCAAATCTTTCCTCTATATAATATTAGTGTAGCTGAATACCTTTTGATGTTATCTCAGAGGATACAGCCCCCCTTGAAATAATAGACCTGTTCAAAATTTCAATTGTTCATGTATTGAAAAATTTTATAATATGGTAAATTTACCCACGTACCTACAACTTTCAACTACAATGGGCGAGTGGACTTGTAACGAATTATTGGCATACAATTATTCCACTGTGTCGTTAAGGACCTAAAACGCGTAAAACGCACCATTAGGCGATACGTCGAATAAATGGTGACGTCAGCTTTCATGCTGTTTTATTATTGGTCAGATAATCTTCCATTTCCACTCATGAAGCGAGGTTTTCAAGTCACCAATTACAATCAAGTTATCAAAAAGTTCTAAGAGTCCTGTCGTTGTATAAAACATAATAGAAGAAACCCATGATATTATACTTCATTCTCGACTTCTTCGAGCAACCAGCATGTCCAAATATTTCTTATACTCCATAACAAAATATCAAGTCACGTTCAAACATTTTGAGACAATTGATGTTGTATTGCTAAATAGGAATATTACCCATACAGAGTTTGAATAACTAATATTTCTTAAGTTCCCATTCGTATTTCAACATATGGCAACTATGCTATAGTCTGCCTCTACTTAAGAAATCGTGACGTCAGTTTTCACTCGCTGTTAATTTCTATCCGTTTGAAAATTACCGTGGCATTATTGAGGATTTTAGCACCTGAAAATCGACCGAAAAATTCTAAAAAAATGTGAAATTGAAAGGTATTTGAGTGATGATTCTATTCAAGAAATAAAAAACAATAGTCCACTCGCCTATTTTTTATTGCTATGTAGGTAAATACAACATTAATTCCTGTTACTAGTTTATACTAATTGTAGGATATTATAGTACTCTTTGGCTGATGATGATGGGTTTATTAGGTATAAGCCCGAAACATATCCCCCCCCATATTGTAACATGCAGTATAGACTTCTTCACACCTCTATAGTAATCATCTGATCGATGTCGTTTGTTAGTGAATCGGAATGGAGAGTACGAGCCGTCCCGAGAAGAAGCCGAAGAACTGGAGAAAGCCTTGGCTGAGGTCGACAACGACGTGAAATCGTTGGAAAAGCTGAGCCAGACTCAGGGGCTGCTCGACTCGCTGTTGGACGAGACCAACTTGGCTGAGACTCTCGTGCAGGTATTCATAATAGTGTTACGATTATTCCACTTATTTCAAAATACACGTTTTTGATTGGTTGAAACATCTCTTTTTGGATGTATGACAAATTGATATTCATCATTCAGGACGTGAAAAGAAATTCTGAAATGAGAAAACCTAATCACGAATCTGCGATTAAAGGTCTATAAAAATAACAAGTACATATTATTAAATACCGCTACATGCGTTGGAAATAAATAATATTCTAGAACCTTCATACATTTTCATCACAACAGCATTTTTTACGATGTTTTTTGATCTGCTGAAATTTATTTTCCGTACTGATTTCAATATTTAATGAATGTTGTATTAGGAATTATTGAGAAATTGCAAATTGAAAAATTACCAGTCATTTTTACTGCCAGTATGGAAATAATAATTATGAATATAATATATTGGTGAAACGAAAATAGAATGACAGTGTATGACGTGTATACGGGGGAATTTCAACTTGATCCGGGCAATACGTCGAGAGACAGGAAGTCACCGATCGACCAGCCGACTGCAGTAGTGTAATTAGCGCCAGCGTTTCTACATAAAGCGGCGTTTTGACGATGGAATAGCCAGATGTCGTAGGTCCTGAATTAGTTGGTGATTTTCTGCTTATAATCGGATGGCTTATTGGCCAGTAAAAAAATTGCGAAATGGATTGCACTGTCACTTTTTCAATTCTTGTCTGATTTAGGAGGAATTTTGACCGAGTCGTAGATTGATGTTTCAGGATGTTAACCTGCATTTCAGTTACCGAAAAAATTTCATGGATTGGTCATCATACAGGGAAAAACAAGTTACTATTTCACGCTTAAATGCTTAACGCCCTGTGACAGAAGTGAGTGATTAAACTTAGCTTCATCATGTTTTGGATTGAAGTGTGACCTCTTCTCAACAAAATGGTTTTTGATTCATGTCAATATCTCTTGTTGAAAAGAAGATACGAGTGTTTCAAGAAAGTATGGATTTTTTAAACCTAATGAACTTATCGATTAACACTTCGTAGAAACATCAATGAGTTGATATCAAATATCCACCTCGTTTTCTCACCCCAAAGATGCTCAATTGGTTCTGAATTCTCGTTGATCATAATTAAAACATTCCGTACTTCTTTAAAAAAAAATCCAATACCTACCTCCTGTCCCTATCCTCCCTAGGAACGCACGATGTTCTTTGAACATTATAGGAATTTCCTTTCGTGTGCTCCAAGCGATAAAAAAACTTGTATATTCTCTTGAAAACAAGATTTAGACGTGAATCAGGAACCATTGAGTTGTGAAGGGACGAAAAAGGATCACAATTCAATCCAGAACATGATGAAACAGGAGGTAAAAGATGGTTCTGAATAATTGTTAATCAAAATTTGAAAATGTTCTACTCTCTCAAATCACCTGTATCTTTCCTTAATGAGAAGATAATGACGTGAAACAAAAACTATTGTGTTGAGAAGGGATCACACTTCAATACGAAACCTAATCAAGCTGCGGTTAACCACTCATCTTTGTCACAGAGCGTTAAGAAGTTAAGAATGGAAGAGTAAATTTTGTCTTTCCCTGTATAATAATCAAGCCTTCAGATTTTTCCAAGAATTTAAATGCAGGTTAACACTCTGGAATATCAATCTACGATTTCGTCGGTATTTCACCGTAATCGGACAAGAATTTACAAAGTTACAGGGCGACCCATTTGGTAAAATTTGCTCGCCGGTGAGTGTATTTTATTCTTCAGATAGTTAAGCTTTTTGGCTCAAATTTTCTGGTACGGCCCGGCCGACCTTGCCGTCCCTAACGAGCCTTCACTGATATGAAAACGTGCATTTCATTTTATCGCATCGCTAGTATCATAGTTCTCATCCATCACTGAATCTATCGGACATCTCTGCCGTTATTATGTTATCTTGAAATTGAGGTTAACCATTCTAATTATTTTACAAGCTTTTATTCACTTTTTCCTATCCCGGTGTCTTCTAATGACAGAAATTTTTGTTAGAAAAAAATACAAAATGGCGGTCCAAAATGTAATTGTGATCCGATTCTATTCAAAATTGGTATCTGGGAGTTTTCTGTGTCGTAAATTATGATTCTTTCATCAAAATTGAGAAATTTGAGATGGCGGCTTCAAAATGGTGAATAATTTGTGAATGAATATGGTACTATTCTATTAAATTAGTGCATGGGGATTTTTGGGGCTGGCAATAATTATTGATTCTTTTGTTAAAATCAGAAAATTCAAGATGGCGGTTTCAATATAGCGGACGATTTTTGTGATTATGATCCCATTCTATTCAAAAGTGCTATCTGGGAGTTTTCTGGGTCGGAAATTATGATTCTTCCATTGAAATTGAGAAATTCCAGATGGTGGCTTCAAAATGGCGGATGATTTTTTTTACAATACTCCTTTTTTTCCGCATATTCAGAAAAGCTTGTCTCTAAAATAGTTATTTATGTACCAAGAACTAAACACACTAACAAATATCACTGGCAACCGTACAGCGGACGAAAAGTTAGTGTCTGCGGACATAATGTACTTTTTTTTTTTTAATTTTTTTTTTTTTATTTCAGTCATTGCATTACATTCTTTTCTTCATTGATACATTTCATACAAATAATATATGAAGTATAATTAATTTTCTAGTAGGAAATAGGTGGTTTTTTTGTCCCGAAACGTAAAATGTGATTTTTCTTGTAGAGGTCGACGAAAAAATGTTTTTTATAAAGCTTGTTTTTCCTTCCTATTCTTCTAGATCCCGGAGATGTTCCACAACGGGTATACGACGGCATGCGGGGACAGTGTGGTGGCCCAATCTTCGTACCTCTTACCAGTTGAGCCTCATTCGCGATCTTAGCGAGAGCAGAGGACGTGCGAATGATTGTTCACGAGCCAGAGTACAAGGCAAGTATTTCGATTAAAATTTCTTCTACTTTTTTTTCTTCAATACGGCGCTGTTATTCAGGTGAAGTCGCTCGTAAGCTCTAAACCTGTCGTGGAATATTCGCGAGATTCACGAAGTGGGCGACATCTAGGTTACATAATACGAACTTCAAACTGGGGGAAAACAAACTGTTGTCTATGGATAAAGTGCATAGACTACATTGCATTCAGCTTGCTGTAGCTGTAGTCAAACTTGTCAATGATAATGGTTGAATTGCTTAATTTTTTTACATTATTACATTTTTATTAGTTTAGTGAACAGTGAACGGGTGAAGAATTGGAGATAGTTCAAACAATTCAAACTAATTATGACGAGCAAATCAATTGACATAAAAGAACCGCTAATGGGCTTTCACGCTGAGTTGATAGTGACGTCAATATGTCAACACATACAGTGTTGCCAGTTGAAAGGAAATGACTGAATGACCAACCGCCCGAATATAGTTATGTCTAGTGTTACGATCGTCGGACGTTATAATGTTTTTTGGAACCAACTCAAAAGCCGTCCATTTATGTTTCAAAATCAGCACTCGAAGTTGATAAATGAACTTCAATATTTGTATTTGATGAACCATGCACCTGAACAATGAACTGAATATGAAATTCAATGATAATGAAATTCTTATAAAGAATAATAACTTGAAGAATACACTACAGTTTCAACCTTCTCCTGAAGATGCTAACATAGTTAGATATAACTTGAAGAATGAATGAATGAAGATGATCAACAAATAATCACAGATGTTGACATTAAAAATAACTTATTTTTCTACCAATACACAATTATGTCTTTAATTAATTATTTTTAATAAAACTGATCAGTATTCACATTCACTGAGTGAAAATAATAAAAACTTCGAATTCAATTCTGAGGTTATCTAATCGTTTTGAATGTTTTTCAATTACTATAAATTGGTGAAATGAAATAGAAATTCGATCAATTGATTTCATTTCGTGGGAAAATAAATAGTGGTGCATCTACTTATATTGGAAATTATGAAATAGACAACAAGAGTTGTTCTTACTTCAATATTCTCAATATAATTCATGGGGAAAACCCACAAAAACTCATGAAACCACTATTTCATTACAATAAACTAACACAAATCATATTTGGATCATTCGGACAACACAAAATATCATTATTAATACCATCATTCAACTTACATCTCTCACAGCAGTCATTGAAAGTAATGGACCATCTTCTGCGCTTACGCACTCAATGGTTTAGGCATTTTGAATAAATCGAATTTCACCTATGATCCACAAATAAATCACAAACAATTTCTTGAAAGTACAAATTGTCAGTAATGAATAATTCGCAGAGATCAGCTGATCACAACAAATCGTTTTTAGAAATATCAAATGAATCTGGCATCGGTGTACAGTTTTGCCAACTCAAATCGAAATTCGAAAGTTACTAGTATTTTTCGATGTGCAGTTTTGGCACGACATTGTTACCAAGTATTGCGCAACTATCAACCCAGCGTGATTTCATCGCCGAAGTTTGTAGACAAAGTGCAAAAATGTGCCTTTCGTTGAAGTCTTCTGCCTCATACAAAATCACATGATTAGCATGAAGAACTGCTTCTCCTTCCACTACTGGTCGGCTTTTTCCATCTAAATAGAGCAAAATATTTGCCAAAAGAACATCTACAACAGGCATTATTAGCGTTTTCGATCGAATATTGACAATTAATGTCAAGAAATGTAAAAACATCACCCTTATCAGTACACAGTACACAAGCTAATGGCACTAATGGGATTGAGTTAGTTTTCCCCCAGTTTTGACGTGGCTTTGACATGGAACGATGAAAACCGAGCGCCACCTGATAACATTGATTCCCGCGAATAGGGTCCCTTGATGCAAACTGACGTATTTGTCATCTAACAGGGTACGGACAGATCATAGCTTCTCTTTTAATCATCTAGTGACTTTGGTTTCGTGAATTGGCGTCCCTGACATGACATTGCTGTCACGTCACATTCATAGGCGTTGAAAGAGATCTTAAAAAATTTCAATTTCGAACTTGATCTTAATAAGACATTATTCAATTCTGTTTTGGAAGGATGGTAAAATGTGCTGCGTTAGGCTGTATCAATCAGTTGGATGGTAAATTTGAATTTGTCAGCTTTCCAACAAATACAAATGAACCTAGAACATGGAAAGTGAAGTGACCGAATGAGGAAAATTGTTAAATACATCAGCAAAATATTGGAGGTAAAACTAATACGAAATCACATATTATACTTTCTCATTGTGCCCATAATTATCCACTCCACAATTTTTTTGAATGCATCTTAGTATAAAGTTTAGAGAGGCATATGCCCTACCATTTAAAAAATTATACCTACATTCAGGAAATATTAAGTGTACGTGAAAAACTGAAAAAATGTTTCCCAACATGAATATACAGCACACATGACATATGAGTACATTAGCATAAATACCTACATACAATTTTTCAACATTACTCAACGATAAGGCTTAGTCTGAAATCAACATTCATTTATCGATAGGCACTGCCTAAGAACAGTCCCATCTGGTAAAATGTATTGAACTTTCAGAAAAATTTACTCACTGCCCCTCAAAGATTATGCTGGAGTTGAAAATTAGAAAACTCGAAGATTATCATCATCATTTGGATATAATATGTAGAGTTGAATGAGAAATTACATGTGGAAATTACGTATGATACGCCAATGTCCTCAATATAACCTAAAAAAACAACAAATGTCAGAAATCTAGTGCATTAGTTACCTGTGGACAGGTTCGATAAACCTCCATTTTCGGAAATTAGGCACAATATCTACATTAAAATACGGTGTACCAGCGATTAACTTGAAAGGATTGATAGCAAATACATACAGGGTGTCAATTTGAAAACTTCCCACCCTTAATATCTCCCTCCAAGTCGATAATATGGAAAAACGAAAAGACAGGTCGATTTTATTTTCGAGGGGGACATGGTTCTAAAATATTTTCAGCCCCGCGGCGTTGCCGCTTCTAACGAAAAGAAGCAACAACTTTGTTATTTCAAATGGAACACCCTGTATTTTATTGCATTTTTAGATTCTCACTGAAAAGCTGATTTCATCAATGTATCACACTTGGGGTCTAGCAGGAATGATTACAGAGATATAGGGTGTTCAAAATCGAGATTTTACAACTTTAGGATTTTTTTGAGTCGAAACTATTCATTATTGGTCAAAACGGCTTTCATGTCCCTATCTCAACTTTTGATTTACTATCTACTGACATTTATTTGAAACAAATACAGGGTGATCAAAAGTCTGAATCTTGAACCACCCTCTATTTGTTTCAAATAAATGTCAGTAGATAGTAAATCAAAAGTTGAGATAGGGACATAAAAGCCGTTTTGACCAATAATGAATAGTTTCGACTCAAAAAAATCCTAAAGTTGTAAAATCTCGATTTTGAACACCCTATATCTCTGTAATCATTCCTGCTAGACCCCAAGTGTGATACATTGATGAAATCAGCTTTCCAGTGAGAATCTAAAAATGCAATAAAATACAGGGTGTTCCATTTGAAATAACAAAGTTGTTGCTTCTTTTCGTTAGAAGCGGCAACGCCGCGGGGCTGAAAATATTTTAGAACCATGTCCTCCTCGAAAATAAAATCGACCTGTCTTTTCGTTTTTCCATATTATCGACTTGGAGGGAGATATTGAGGGTGGGAAGTTTTCAAATTGACACCCTGTATTATTACTTACTAAGAAAACAATTTCAACAGTGGTGAACTACATATTTAGGTCTAATTGATCGTTAAGTAAAATGTCAGAATATTTGAGTTTGCTGATTTCTAATGATTTAAAATGATTCAGTCTCATTCCTTTATTTTCAACGTGTAGAATTTCGAAATTTTATCATCCAAACTATGGTTTTCTTCTAATATATGGTTGGCATATGTTGAATTTGTTTCCTTTTCTAAAAAATGCATCTTATATCTTCATATCAACAATAATAATATCAATTAATTATTTCTCTCCTTACTCCACTGTGTTTTGCTCGATAATCAAATGAAGGTATAAAATATCTTTGTTTGAGACAAAAAGCTATTGCTGACCGTGATTATTCAAAAACAAGTTATCCATCCCGAGAATAACGAATGAAATACAGACCAAGCAAGTATCTTGAAGGTTTCCCTGATCAAAACAAAAATACTCAACTACTGAAATGCCAATTCTGCCGAAATCGGAAAGAAATCAGGTATGCGTCCCAACCCAAATAACCAACCGTAACAAAGTTGTTTTTCTGCAACTGACACAAAAGTCGTCCATTTTGATACCAAAATCAGCTCTTAAATTGACGTTTCTATTACTGACATAAAAATAGGTATGTTGCTAGGCAACATATTTAGTTCCTAGGAGCTAAAGTTGAATTTTAGTTCCTAGGAGCTAAAGTTGAACTTGAGCTCCTAGGAACTAAAAAGGATCTACTGGACGTCATCAAGAATAAACAACATTGTGACGGTTGGTTATTTGGGTTGAGACGCATACGCATATGATTTGTTTCCGATTTCAGCAGATTTGGCATTTCATACCCATGCTGGAGATATAAATACACCTTATTATAGTTTAGTATTGGAATTATAAACATCTCAGTTAAGTATTTTTGTTTTGATCAGGGAAGCCTTCAAGATTCAAATGCTTGCTTGATCTGTATTTCATTCGTTATTCTCGGGATGGATAACTTGTTTTTGAATAATCACGGCAAGCAATAGTTTTTTTGTCTCAAACAACGATATTGTTTAGCTTCATTTGATTATCAAGTCAAACACAGTGTATCATGGAGAGGAATAAATAATCACTATTATCATTGTTAACTCAGATTGTTAATATGCTCACTAACCTAACATTTTCCACGTCTTGTTCCTATAGCTGGCACTGGCGCGGTATTTGCCATTAGAGCACCTGGTCCATACACAAATATGTCACTCTGTAGTTGTATTTATATTGAAACTACAATTCGAACATCCTATAGAAAACCTAACCTGCTGTTAATGCAGGTAGAATATTCTCACCACATGGATTATTTGTCAATATTTGTTGCATTGCATACATATGGCACGGCATTGGTGGTTACTTCACATGTTTATTTGAGTTAATTGTTTCGGTTGCAGAAAAAATAGCATGTTTCATTCGGATCAAAAGTGACTTTGTTCGACTCGCAAATTTTGCTTTCGCTCGGCTTCGCTAAACGCTCCGCCTCGCAAATGCAAAATTCGCTTGTCAAACAAAGTGTCACTTTTGATCCTAATAAAACAATCTACTATTATTCTTGATGACCTTTAGAACATCCTTTTTAGTTCCTAGGAGCTTAAGTTCAACGTTAGCTCCTAGGAACTGAAAGTGTTGCCCAGCAACATACCTATTTTTGTGTCAGTAATAGAAACGTCAATTCAGGAGCTGATTTTTGTATTGAAATGGACGATTTTGATTTCGGTTGCAGAAAAAGATTTTTTTCATTCAAGTAAACATTTCAAGTATTGTTTTGATACACCATCATATCATGGAGATTGAGAACTATCGAAAAATGAAAAAAAAAATCCTGGTCAGTATTTAAAAAAATAAAGTTGATGATGACCGCTCGAATAAGAAACATCGGATCTTGAATTTGACAATGCCATTTTGTAGAGGAGGAAAAGTGGCAATGATGAAGTGACATTTATTTTGAAATATTTATTCAAATGAACTGAGTAATAAATATACACAAATTTGCATATTTTCCTTTTTTTTTTGGAAATCTCTCCGGAAATAAGTGAAATTTTTCCAATTTCAAAGCAGCATTTTGTTGAGCAAGAAATGGTGCAACTTTGCCCTAACTCAACCTACTCTATATCTCTTGAGGTTACTGAGATTTCCCATGCTTAGCCACGATTTTGTGACAGTATTTTGATGACATCATTTTTGGTTTAGTAGTGGACATCCAGGATGGCCGTTTTCCTCCATAAAAAGCAGCTAGGCGCAGCGATTTCCGACGGGCAGTCAGTCAGAATCGCGATATTGACTATAAAGTGTGGAGGCGTTTATTTGAATTCCAGTGATAGTTTTTAACTGTATATTTTTTTATTACTTGTACGACCGGATTAATTTTCATCGATGGTCGACTCTGCCGAATTTTGAGATTAAAGGGTACGCGTTGGCGGGGTGTTTTTTCTCTAGTAACTTGCGAATGATTTCGAAGAAGCTTTAAGTGTTCAAAAGACTGTACTTAGGAAAATGTTCTTGCTCATTATGTGACAGAGATAGGTCTCGTGAGGACGCTGGATGTAAGAACGTGGAAAGTATGCAATATACTTTTGAAATGGATGGCTTTTATTTTATTCTCATTCTTTCTGCTCCCAACAATGTTGACAAGTCGCTAAATTCAGTTGAATTGTTTGTAAATTGCCCTAGAGCGTTACCACCGATACAAGGCCTGCATGATAGTCGACGACAGAGCCCTTTGGAAAATCAAGTGAAAACGAGAATCACCCAATTGCAATGCTATGGAATCGGTCACGAATTGAATTAAATCAAGAGATAAAACTTTGAAATTCACAGGGGGTATATAATAAATGGTAGCGCACTTTACGAACTTAACGACAATTTTTTTCAACCACCTGTTTGGCCGGAAGTGAGCCCAACTTTTTTTTTCAATTTCACCCTGTTCATTTCTTCAGTCTATCTTTTTCGCCTTGAAATTCTCTATCCAACCATGTATCACAAAGTGGCATTCATTTCTTAATTCGCTGTTGACTTCCTTTTTATTCAAAAAGAATAAGTTGGCTGTGACATGAATTCGATGATATATTGACACTTGGTAGGCTTAGAAATTTAAATATCATTAGTAAACCGATATTATTCAAAATGTTTTGATATTCTGATCAATGTCTGCAGGTTGTCGATAGCTTGTTTGAGTCAAGATGAAAACCTTCGAAAATAACTCATGATATTGAGGAATCTACGATAGGAACATATTTTTCCGAATTCAGCTACTCGTACAGAAACTATCTGTCTTTTATTTTCGCCATGTACCTATCACATGATCTTCCCATTTGGAATAATAAAACTAAAATTGATCCCCTTATACGATGATCCACAGGGCTATCAGTCTATTTTTTCATAATTTTTTCACTTAGTAGGCGGTGTACCTACACAAAATGATTTATGTGTTTGACAGTTAATCGATTGCATCAATAATTTTTCTTCTTCATTTGTGTGTTGATTAAAATTGCATATTGACAACATATCGACTTTTTCGTTTTCTTGAATACATTTTCCGTCACTCTTCATAATTAATTAATGACTACTACACAAGAAAACATATATTTATCATGTGCGAAATTACACAGCCAAATATAACTGAATTATGTTAGATCAATGTTTAGAGAAAATTCTTCAATACTGTATATCTTGCCTATTAATAATTTTTTCAATCTATTTTTGAACTGATTCATTGTTTTTGGGTGTATGATAAATTGACATTCATCATACAGGGCGTGGAAAGAAATTCTGAATTGAGACTCTATCACAAAGTTTTATTGACTCATCCAATTTGTTATAGAATTTGGATCGTTTTGGCAGATTTGAAGTCTGTTAAATGGTAAAAATGTAACTTACTTTTATCTCTATACTATAAGCATATAGTCATCGATGTATAGAAAGTAAAAATCCTATTGAAAGGAGTTTCGAAATTTCTCGATCCTTGTGAAGAACTCCCACCATACCTGGGCCCTTTATATGGTGTCAAAAGTTTAGGGCAGCCGATCAGATTAGTAAAAAAATCAGATTAAGACATATGGTACATTAATTCCATGCACAAAAGTGTGCATTTCAATAATATGACGATTTGAGCATGACAAGGAAATGGGAGAGCCACAAAGTTGCAAAAAAATCGTCACCTGTACATTCTCGAGCGCGATTAATTTTTCTCCTATTTTGAAGGCGGTTAGTCATGGATCACGGAAATAACATAACCTGCCCACAAGCCGAAGTAGCGAAAATCCATCAATTAAGTGTGATGATTGCAGTCACTGGGGACTATATGTATGTAATTGTGGTAACGTAGGAAACTGAAAAAAAAGTATCACTTCGTATATTGTTATCAATGCTTGAACCTTGTCATTTTTTGACATTTGTAGAGAAAAGTTCATTGAATTCAGTGCAGTAAGTTTCATGTTACAACAGCACTTTATCAAGACTCCTTCATCCATAGAATGGCTAGGCTCTGGAATTCATTGCCTGTGGAAGTATTCCCAACAACATATAATCTCCAAAAGTTCAAAAAAAAAATCCAATACCTACCTCCTGTCCCTATCCTCCCTAGGAACGCACGATGTTCTTTGAACATTATAGGGATTCCCTTTCGTGCGCTCCAAGCGATAAAAAAAATGAGTGACAATAGTTCGAATTGTGGGCCGTTCTGACCAATAATGAATACTTTTGATACAAGAAAGTGTGAAAGTTGAAAAATCTCGATTTTTTGCACCCTATTTCTCTGTGATAATTTCTCTTGAATCTAAAGTGTGATATAAATCGTTGGAATCAGCTCATGAGGAGGAAACCTGAAAATGCAATAAAATACAAGGTGTGCTATAAGAAAAAGTATAACTTTGATACGCCACGCATTTCTGACTAACCCTGTATAACGCAAAATATTTCAGAAATGTACTGCTTATGAGACTAGACCACCACATGAATTTTTGTTCATCTATCTCGGATAGCAAAGCCGTTATCTCAATTTGCCACACTATTGGTCCACCCTGTATGTCTACATGAGCCTTCCATCTCAAAATTGTGAATTCTTCGAGCTGTTGAAGTCCTGCTAGGTACAAAAAACTGACCCACCCTGTATATTTTATATTTTAGTTATTACATTCAGTTAACAAAAAAAAATCCAACCGTCAGATTAAGGTAATTCCTCTATACAGTGTGTCCCAGATTTGCTTCTCTATACATACAATGTTGGCGTATTCCTGCATTTACTTCTCTTTTTATTTTTCATGAGACATTTGGTGAATATCCAAGAATCGAATCAAAGTGAATGCGTAAACAAACGAAACAAATCGGGACTAAATGACCGCTCTCTTGTTGACGTCAAACAAAGATAACGTCAGAGCCTTTTGGCCCTGTTGTATCGGTGGTAATGCCTAGTCATTTCAATTATACATTCAGGATTTACCCAGAAATCCAGAAAATATACGTAGGACACGTTATCAAGATGTTATTCATATAAAACTTTAAAAAAATGGGGAGGTTAACTACTTTTTTATTTTAATCGAATTCGATAAAATTCAGTGTACTGGCTGAATTTTCTGACAATTCAATGAAGGAAAACAGTTTTCAGAATATAATTCAGAGGTGTATCAGACAGTGTGAGGCTAGGATAAATATTGTCCGAAATTTAACTATGTAATTCTTTCAATTATTTTTGATAGCTCAGATAGACAAGAAGAATATATATATATATATATATATATTGATAGACGGTATAAAGTCACCTCCACACCGTTACACATGTAATACGTTGTCACCTCATATATGACGTTGTGACTTCCGAAAACGGAAGTCACAACGTATCCCCATTCATTTCAACACAGTAGCCAGCAGATGTCATCAGAAGGCCATTCCCGAAAATTTCTCCGGAGGTCACTTTGACCACCCCATACCTCCAAAAAAGTTTTTTAGTTCGAGAGTTTAACGTCAGTGTTTGGTGGCGCTCCATGTCCATATATACGATTGATACATGTATAACGAAGTGACTTCCGTTATTCAGAATGCATATTGAGACCTCCGAAATTCGGCAACACTGTAAGCCTATGTGTTATTATTTCTGAAGCTCGTTTCACGTCTCATCAGTATTGTGTCACAATATTCGTGGTACATACAAACAGGTATCCAAAAAAAAATTATATTTATTCAAAAAAATAAAGAAATGAAGGGTAGAACTCAACGAAATATGAAAACTTGATTTTTTTTATGATCTGGTTCCGACGAAAAGGGATATCCTGTAATGTTCAGAGAACATCGTGAGAACCAAGGGAAATAAGGTAGGAATTGGTGTTCGTCCAATTCCTTAATTCATTGAATTTCTGGAGGTTATATGCCTCGGGGAACACCTTCCTTGGCAATGTGTTCCGGAGCCTCGCTGTTCGTGAAATTAACGAGAACGAAAGAGATGTTCTGCAGGTCTCCAAAGTGACCACGAAGGGGTGCGAAGCATCAACTAGACGGGTTAATCTCGCAGGGACTGCCAAGGAAGAAACAATTGTTGATTTAAATAGCTATAAAATGAGGCCTCTACGGTGTTCCAGAGAAGTGGGTGAGTTTGTGAGCAAGGCATCACCCACAAGACAAACTGTCCTTTTTTGGACAGAATCAAACGGTTTCAGGGTATGTTTGGGTGTTGAACTCCAAATATGAAAACAGTATTCCAGGACAGGTCAGATCTGTGCCTCAAAGGTCATAAGCAGCTGACTGGAAGTGAAATTACTCCTGGCCCGAAACAGGAAACCAAGTTTTTGGGATGCACTTTTTGGGATGCAATCTCACATGATTTTCCCAAGAAAGGTTATTGCTGATAGTAATACCAAGCATCGAAATGTCTTCAAAGGTATGGTTACTCCTGACAAGCTTATGTTGGGTACAGTGAGATCGGCTTTTCTAGAGAAAAGGCATGCTTGTGTTTTGTTTGCATTGAAATCTACCAAGTTATTGGATCCCCATTCGAGAATTGTTGCCAAGTCCATATTCATGTTGTACACATTTCTTCCTCGTTCGTTTCTGATTTACCTGGCTGGTATTGGAGCCCTGGAAGAGAAGGCGTGATCGTGTGTTCGAATCGCAGTTGAAGCAAGAAATTTCTTCAATGTTTGATTTAGGAATTGAATATTGTTCAGTTTCAAAGCATCGGTTGGAGATAGTCCTGACCGAGGTCCTGACGATTCACTGTTGCGTTCGACTCAACAGTGTTGCGTCTGAAATGATAGATGTAGTTAGTAACAAAGCCTTCACATAACACACAGGAAGAAATAAAGATGATGTGGTTGTGAGCATCAGAGGACGGTGTATGT